CACTCTCAGCAGAGTAGTATTGGACCCCAGCTGTTCCGTCTGTTTGTTGTAAAGCATGTGAAGTTAAAATAAGCCGGTATGGATTGCACATAGGAAACAAAAGGAAAGAACTGTAAATTACAGGACAAAGAGACTGCAAACTGACCTACTACGGGGAGCCATCAAGTGCAGGTTGTAGTTCAGTTACAGTGAAACGTTTTGTATAAAAGCCTGTGATACGCTGAAGCTTTATTGAAAACGGAGTTCCGAAATCCTCATTAAATTTGTTGATCACTAAATACAGCCTAATAAACATGGCGTCAAGAAAAAATTAAGCCAAAGGATTCACTATGCTAAATTTATCCCTATGACAGCACGGTCAGTCACGTGAATGAGTTGACTCGTTCCTCTAAATAAAATTCAGAACTTAATAGTCTGATTGTTTTATTTTCCGGCCTAGTTTAAAATGCAAATTCACTGAGACTCTGAATCACACACCAAAATATCTATCGGAATCTTTAAACTGTGAAGAAACGACGGTAGAATCAACTGATTGTCGGAAGCGGTTCATACTGTAGTCAGATATGATTGCGTGGTTAGCTATATCTTGTATGTGTTTTCCGCTCATCCGAAAACCAAAATGCTTACAAAAACTGAATTGTATCGAAATTCGTATTAAAAGATCCAGCAAGGCAACTGGAACAATAAGGTTTGGCGGTATAAAGCTGAAGGGAAAAATAAACTTGAGGTATTCGCTCGGTGAATCCACGCACCTGTGTCATTCAGTGTTATTTCCATGCCATTCATATTCAGCCGATGTATATGTCCAGCCGGCTTTCTCATGTGAAGCCATCCTCCACAATTTTCCTGGTATTAGCGCCAGATCTATGATCTCAGAGTAACCTGATTTTAACTTCATAGTAATACGTATTGGTTTACGCTACCAAGTTGGTTCTTTCTAGACATAACCAAGCATGTAGCAAGAATGACCAGGACAGCTAATTCCTAGTCATCGCCTTCGGCGTTTTCATGTGCCGACCAAATTTCCTCTACATAACGACATAAGTACTGTGCTACATAGAGCGCACATTACATTTCTTCTTATTCTAGCAATAATTAGCATTAACAGGCGCAGGTTTATTGATTGTGTAGTTTATGTACAGTTCCATCTTGGTTACGGCTGCCACATGCTTGCTTGAATCATCTACAGCTACAGTCTATACGGCAAACTGATACCTCAGAAAAGATCTTCAGCAACAAACTGCTCCTCAGTGACATGCCACAAGTTTTTTCTGGGCAGAGGATGGTTGTCGAAGAGTGCTACTGAAATGCCCAACTCTGCTGTTAGCAAAACATTGAACATAATTAGATTAATTTGTTCCAAGTGACAACAAAAGCGCGAGTGACGCTGATGAATGGAGGTTATTCCTTAAAATATTGTGCGAATGGATGAAGTTGTATTTGCCAATGCATAAAAGTTTCACTGTGTATGAATTTTTCTTGTTCGATCAAAAACCAAACTGCTGGCGGATTCTGACAACCTCCTGAAAATGGTGGATAGCAGTTTTTGTATGGTTAAAACTCATACATAAATGTTCAAATTGATCGATTAAAAACGCGAGCCAATCAGTTAGACATGAAAAACCAGTACCAAAGGTGGCATAAAAATGCCGACGAGAATAGATGAAAGAACGTTTGATAAAACTGGTATATGTAGTGGAAACTCCTGTGTTCTAACCGCACTCAGAAAGAGCTCTATACCTAACATCTCATACATAGCGTCTTTTACATAATTATCAGACTGGAGTATTAGGTTTTCAGGCTTTAGTATTCACCAGTGAGATTTTTCTGCCCGTTTCACGTAATAGAATGTAAGTCAAGTAATTTTCATTTTTTTCAGTGGATTCCAAACACAAAAGAAACAAACCAAGAGAGAGATTTAATGTTTGTTGCCTGATATAGTTAGATCATGGGCACTGAATCGCTTAGTCACCTTATATCGTTACGCTTTACATTAGATATTGCCCAACATGGCAAACCACGCATCAGAAGAAAATACAAGAAAGCAAAAACCAAACAAAAAGGAGAGCAGAGTGCCGCCAAATGAAAAGTACTGCCAACGAATGAGTTCTATGAAGCAACTCGGACTCAATTCTAAAATGATGTAGAAACGCACAAATAACAAAGCTGAGTTAGAGACAGAATAATTCAAAATTCCGATTGAACACTCAGATTTAGACGTAGTGAAAGCTTTCTGAAAGAGTGCCGCACAAGGAAAATATCTCACGGTAGCCCTCACGGGCCTACTTCATTGGGTTGAGTAGTTATGAACGATACATTTCAAAGTACGTCATCGTCTATCATGCTGTGAGTAGCCATGGTTTATTTTTTTAATTAAACTACTACCAGTATCCGACAGTCCTCAAAAAATGATCGCTCTTGTTATAAAACACTGGTTATATATGATTATATATGTTATTGCAAAATATATTTTGTTACTTCTTCTGGGCTATGGTCGGTGTGCTCCGACCGAATTCCCCGGATTTTTAGCGTTATGACAGGTAATGACCTAAACATTAGTCGTTTCATGCTCAACACGTATGATGAAGTATTCCATTACGAATTTAAAGATGATTAGGTAAATCCAAAAAGAAAACAATCCGCAAGACTTTACGGAGTTTTGATAAGGAAATCGCCGAGAAAAATGTTGCAGTGAGCGAATGAGCCGAAACGGATAATCAAATGTTCGCAGTGCAGGAGCTGGTCGTTGTTTACAAATGTTTCCACGGAGCAAACTACTCGATCTGTGGTTGCGCTTCACTCGGTTTTGCTACTATGTAGACGAAGTTAGCGACGATGACAGTCACAAGCAGTTTTTGAAAGTGCATACAGATTTGAATCATCCGCAATCAAGGTGACGTTTTCTCAAGCAATCCACCAACGTACGTGTACAATACCATAAATATAATAAAAGATGGGAATGCCGATGGAGATGCTGATAGATAGGTGACTGCTATGATGAACCTGCAAACTCACTGGAGGGAATCTACAACAAAGTACACATTTTTTCAATTTTTCATTGCACTTCGGTGTCAACCTTTTATTACATAAATTTGATTTCCAATGCGTTTTCTCAAATATTCTTACCCGAGCACTAAAAGCGTATTTATACAGAAACAGACGTTCCACTTAAAGTCCACTACATTGCAAACTGGGGTCCCAAAATCTTCACGTTTATTATGCAGAAGTGAGAGTTATGTTAACAGTGTTTTGGTGAGTGGGAAATCTCACTGTAATTTAAGTCTGATTGTTCAACGTGGTTTCCCAGATATTCGCATAATGCCAAAGAACAACGTTTTGAACAATTCATTTGAAGAATGTGAACCAATATTGAAGCCATCTCGTTTTCAACAAACAAAATATCGATAATAAAAGCCATATTATTGAGACCTGTTTCTTGCCCGAGCCTTTTATCTAAATGTCTAGGCAAAACCAATGTAGGAGGTACCTACAGTGAAAAAGGACCAGAAACATTCTTTCTAATACATGTACCTTTACGGTGGACCAAATAACGAACCTAGTAACGGTTTGATCAGCTTGAACTGCTCTAGGACACAGAGTATGACTTAGATTGAAACCTTTATCGCTACTGGTAATGTTTACTTAAGTCTACAAGTACGCATACCGTGGAAGTTTTACATACGAGTGTATTCGGTTTGAGTTATGCACTGATAAGCAAACTACTTTTTGACACTATATTTTCAGTAGGATATCCATGCAAATTGTGCACATTTGGATGTGCTTAATTCACTAACTACGAAGAACTGTCATCAACAGTGAATTCAGTCCCGTTGTTACTCAACGGGACTAACATTCAACGCTAGAATTTGTGAGTTTCTGCCAAGGAACCATGGGTATTGAAAAGCGTTCCCAACGTTCACATTTATAGGTCAACATGTTGAACTAAACTTTCAGTAACACGTGGTGTGTCCAGTGGGAAATTTGACGAAAGTGCCCCAGATCAAGAGGTTAATAGTAAGACGGAATCGTTTGTTAAGCGGCTCCGTAGCAACTTTAGATTTATCAATCTGTTATGCGAAACCCACCAATGTAAAAGGCTTCAGTTCGGAAACCTCCCCTCCACCCCAGCTACTTCCTGTGATTACGTAAGTAAGCCCTCTAAATATTCAAGGCGCATAGCCCAGAGTTGTATTATTTGAATTTTTTTGCCCTAATAGAAAGAAGTCTTCCATAACGAATAACAGCTCTCTGAAGCGATTCGAGAAATACGAAATTAGTGATAAAGGAGGAATGCATGCAGGGCACTTGTGACGGTACCCGATTAACACATATGGGGGTGAAATGCTCGAGTTTCATTCCCACAATTGAAATCTATGCTTCACTTATTATGAGAGATACCTTGGCTGGTTATTGCGTCTTACGTAGTATGAAACAGCATATTATTTTAAAGCTTTTTTCCATGTGAATAATGAAACAGCGACCAGACCTACAGCAATTTAATCTCTAAGGCTGAGCGAAAAATGCCTAATATTTTGGATGGTTTAATACATGTTAAAAAACATCTGAATATTTCAAGAACTGGTGTCGCAGAATATCTGTACGTAGCACTTATATCAAAGGGGACTTTTAAAAATGCACGCTAACCGCTTCAGGAGACTTCATCAGGTAAAGTACAAAAGAGATTTTCACAAATTCTTTACTAATCCAAAATGTTTGCGCGAAGTTCCGTTAAGCACCACAGTTGAAGATAAACTTTAATTTTGGTACTGGTAAACCAATCGTTAAGTCTAACAAGGCGTAACAGGCAGACACAACAATACAGTGTTTTGTTGTAAACCACAGTGTTTTCATGGCTGCATGTGTAAATTTTAAAGATGGGTCTGTATGACCACTGCAAATCTGCGCTATTCATCTACATTTTTTCTCAACTGAACCTTATCGTTGAAAGCCGTAACAAATAACCGAACCACATATTTTAACGCTAGCGTTTTAACTAACCGGCTGGTTGCTTTCGGTAATGGAATCTGTATCCGGGACTATTTTTGCCGAATCTCCACTCGAGGTTTCTGGCTTGACCTTTCCGGGTGTGCCGACAATAGCTGCGGCAGAGGCATTCGACGGCATAATTTCTTCTGGAGTGACTAATACGGTAGTTGTAGAAGGAGCAGCTGTAGTTGTGGTGACCACGACTGTGACCGGTGATACATAGACATCACCTGATTTTACGGCTTCACATAAGTCCTCCTGGAAGCATTTAGAAGCAAAGAATCATAGAACACTGGATTACTAATTGGCTAGTCTCCCATAAACTTTGAGTGCAATAATTTTTCGAATGTGGTGGAATACAACTCCATTTTCAATATTGTTTGTGAGGGCAGTTCCGTTTCACTCTGACCCAAAATATTGCATTCAACAATGTCAATATGGTTCCAGAAATTCTTTTCCTACACAATGTAAATATGGTTAGTGTGAACTCCGCTTTGCCTATAAAACAAGTGTACGAGCAAGGTGCGAGAACATTTTAGACAGTTGGCATATTTCCAGAAATCTTCTTTGGTGCGGCCTAAATAAGACCAAATGCACCTGAAAACACAAAAGTTGATGAATTTTGGGGTATTAAGCTTCATTAATAGGCAACAGTTAGGGTTTGTAACCATAAAAGATTCTTCACCTGAAGGCTCAAGAGCTTGATTTTCTTAATAAATTTTCTGAAATGCTCGCCTCAAGAGAATGCCCGACGACTGGCGCCGAAAACTTGAATGCCTTCAAGTTGGTTGCGGCACCCGAGCAATCATTTTCACCTCTGTGGTTAGCAAATGCAGGAGGACGTAGTTTTTCCTAAACGGTGCTGTTTCATGAATTGCAAAATTCAACCTAGGTAAGTTTTCAAATTTTGAAGGTATCACTTGACCAGACTAAATAGCAGAACCGGGTGGTAGCCGTGGCTCAGTTTCTTATACATAAAAGAACTTGGTGCTTCTGCTGGACAACTCAATCCATTCCGCGGTTTACAGAGGAGGTTGGCACAGGACGAGAACTACATTTCCAACCAACTGAGTAAATTTAACTGTCCTTGGATATTGTCCTTCAACAGTCTACAATGTTGAGAACAACTCTTCGGTTAAACAGTTTTGTTCTTATGGAAATCTTTTCCCTTCAAGGTAATACGACTGATTCAGAGCTCTATAAGTGTGGATGCGCTTCCAACGTTTTTCTACACTGAATATCTTACGCACAAATGAGATTGTTATGTAGAATTCTTGTAGCCAATAACTATTCAGTAAAACAACTTACCTCACAAAGTATGTTACAAGCAGGGCAGTAAAACTTTCCTTTCAGGATACCCAGGTTGGAATCAACTTGTGTTGTAACATAGCCACCTTCCACCGGACAGACCGTCCAAGAATCCCCAATTTTAAAAAGCAGACCCTTAGAGGGATGGCATTCATGCTGGTAAACAAAAAAACATTTAAACGATGAGGGCGACTAAATGAAACCAATACACATGGTGATCTAGTTCACCTAGTTAATGTCAAGTTTTTTTAATGATGCTTACGTGCACTGCCCAATTCTTCTGGTATATGCGATGAGGCCGAATGTAAGTTGATATAACAATAACGCTTTAAACTGTATAGACTGGGAGTGCAACCTTCCATACCGATATCAAAAGATTCACCGGTAAACGAATAGTATACTAATTATGTATTATCACTTCACTTCAGAAAGTCACCGAACGATATTAAAACTATCCCAACGATGGCAACTGACCACATGAAAAATGAGTTGCAATCATCAAATCAGCAAGCACTCGCTAGAAGCGTGGAAAATGATAGTTTCAAAGGACAAACAGACGGAAATAATATGGAATTTATATGCTTTTCATATAGGAATCTGATGGAACTTGACGCAAAGGAAATCATTTTACCCAAGAACCCACACATTGTTTACGAACAGAAAATCTTTCTTCGGCTAAAATACGGTTAAAAACTCAACTTTTTTGGCTTATAAATTAGAATATGGTCCCGAACCCACCATTTCATAACCAGGGCAATTCGAATGGTATGAGGATTCGCCATGGATGGAATGCTAAACCAAGGCCCGTGTAAGAATCGGTGCTATGTGCTTGGCCAAGAAACACTTGATATTAGAGATACATCCAAGTTGTGTTCTAAAATCATGATATTAGTCAAACAAAACGTGAGCGAGTCTTTTATATGATTGGAAGTTGATTTAATTAGGCCTTTATCCTAGATTCAGACACTTAATGTGTTTTGCGAGTTTTCGTGAACAGTTCGATGACAGCGATCTACCAGTCCTCCAGACTCATATTCCTGACGCTACCTAACCGACCCTGAACTGTCAACTAATTAGGTAACTGTGTAATTCATAAATGTACAGTTCATTTCAAAAACCGAACATTTTTTGTTTCCACGATTACAACTTGGTTGAATGAAACAAATGAAACGAACATAAATAACAGTGAAGCCAGTTCTGAAAAAGATTAACCAACCCGAGTTTTGTCCTGATTCAGACCCAGCCGGTTGACCTGGTCGGAATTGATCACCTGGCATTCAGGCTCACAAGTCATTCTCTACCGTTCCCCAACAATAAGCAACACTGTTTAGATTTGATAACTGATCATCTGGGTAGTAGTTTCCAAATCTTCTGTCTCATTGGCGCCAAAGATCTTTGTGCATGATGACCTCATTTGCTTCTCATTTTGTACACATTTCGTAAAAAACAAAGCTAAAAACATTAGGGAGGTATCACTTAACAAAATAACGTAAGCGCCGTAGGACTAACCGACTCAAAAAGGTACTGCACTTCTGGCAAACACGTACTGGTCAACCTGATCGGGGACTTCTTAACGTTTGCTTCCTTCTAGAAACAAACATCCCAGACAGAGGCCGAGTAATGCATAAGTGCATGCCACAGGAAAAATGAAATTTTTCAAAACTAGTCGGTGGGCTTTTTGAGTCTGGTGGATGGGCATAAGCATGTCGCATACGCAGTCCATCCAAGAGACGCTACGATCCTGTCTTTAGAAGCTATTTTCGACATCTGGATGGTTGCGTGATGAGCACGTGTGAACTCTCAAAAGCAAAAGTTCGATTTACTCCGAAACTCCAAATATTGCTCATCGTAACAAAAAAAAGAGATCAACTACTGACCAATGTCATCTTCGGTAAAGGACGTACCATATGAGAACCGCACTCTTTAAAGTATGCACTAGTTACTACTCTGATAGGACAAAAGCCCTAATAAATGTCTTGCCTAGTCCCACTCTGGTCGAACAGTCGTCACAATCATTCTTATCCAGAAAATCTATCTGCGGGAGTGTTATGGTAGTGTGAACCATATTGTCACGCGCATTTTGACAAAAGACACTTCAATGGTTTCAAACATGTCGGCTGTTTACAGGCACCCAAAACTTGAGACTCTGCGGTGCCCGGAGTGTGTCCTGACGATGCTTCGCACGCAGTGATAACTTCCCTCCCGAAGCCGTGCTGAGAGCAACTCGAATTGGATGTTGGTTACTTACAAAGCCTAGGCGCACCGCTATATCCATTCATTGCTTTTAGTCCGCAAAACTTTGAAGTTAACTCATTCCACGCACTCTCATAATGTCTCGTCAAACGAAGTGCCAGCAAAATGTCGAACCAGTACTCCGGACTACTCAACAGATAACACGCGCGATGTCCCACGTTGGACGTTCGCATAAATCCACAATGCTACTCAATCTATCAAGTGTCGACGTCTGTAGGTGCAATTAGCGATCTTTTCGAGTGATTGCTACAGTAATTCAGAGGTTGATATTATCGGGAAGCAAATTTAATCCATTCTCAGTTGCCATGAAAAGCCGTGAATATGCTTACTTCTTAATGAGAAACAGGATATATGCCCATTTCATGAACGTCTAAAGAGCTTTGCGCCCGGGGCCTTCGGGCTAGTAACTGAAGGCCAAATTGGCTAATCTGCAGTGTGGTTCGATTTATTTCTTTTTCCTGGTTACTCAGTGAAAAGCCATAGCATTATCAACCGAGCATACTGCACGCCCAACAATATGTTTGTTATGGAGCTCGGAAGGAACAGCAGTGTGACCGCTCATTCCGTAATTTTTGCATAAAGATTTGGGTTAACTTTCTACGGCGACACTGATTTTTCCCCTGAATTTCATCGGAAAAACTAGATGTATGGAGTTCCGAATCGAGCTCCGGCATCGCTAGAAGTTTACCCAGTAGGTGAAGCTAAGTCCACCGTTAGTGTGAAGACACACTGTAACTATGAATAATTTTCTGCATATCCCTCCGAGAAGATGGAGTCTACAGCTCCATTTAAATCAATAAACAAGTAGGGTGGGTGATTGACCAAATCCAGAAATTCACCCCAAAATTCGCACTACTCCATAAGTAGAACACCTTGGTTCTCAAGGAATACAGATTGGGCGGGAAATCAAAGCACCATAGATGTAAAATGCATGTATGATATGCAAAACACAGAAAAGGGCATTGACTGTGAAGTCTTTTTGTTCGGCAGATTAGACCGTAATGCATTGATAACGTTGAAAATGAATAAACCAGATCCGTCTGCGATGAGTGATAAATGCAGACAAATTTACAATTGCGCATTGGACCAAAGCTTTTTATGAAGTTAATGGTTTTCTCAGCTATTTGTGTATCGCCAAGTGTGTAACTTTTTGGATAACTCTGCAATGAGTCGCACCTGAGGTGAATCATCCATCTGATTGAGTGAAAATTTCGTTCGATTTAATCACAAATACGTTGAGCCCAATAAAGAAAATCAACTCGATGAACAAAATAATCACACGCTCATGAGACAGTAAAATGTATCGTGTGAGATGATTTTGGCTGTTTACGCGGCAAAGCGAGTAAATAAAAGATCTACAGTGTTTATTTCGTCAACGTAACTGACCAAATGACAGGATGCTCCGTAATTCAGTTTTCTGGTCCCGTTTGCGGTTTCCAGCGTCCAAGGTTCTGTTGGGTGGTGGTCTATACATCTTGATGTCTCGCCAAAAGACTCAAGCGCGAAATTCTTGCTGTTATCTGCGTCGGTAGAGAAGTGAGATAGTGTATTTCACCTTTAAGAATAATACGATCTCTCATAATGGGAGCACAATTTTTCAATCTGTTTGAATACAGTAGAAAAGAATGGATAACAAACGATTAGTCGTTTTCAACCAACGAGAGTCAACAAAAGCTGTGGACGGAAAATTTATTCCCTAGGTAGAGTGAGACTGACTTTATGGTGTTGGACAAGTGAAGGGAGGGCGCAAAATTTGTCGATATTACTGACCGTTTGGTTATTGGTTAACCACCCGTTTACTGGGTGTTGAATTTTTCCCTGTAGTACCCGCTGATCACAGTTCCTTGGTGAGAAGTAAAGAACCGTTTTTGTTGAACATCTCAGTTTTTACTTAAACCTTCGGAGCCCATCAGCGGCATGGACCCGCTTATATGGTTTTTGCCTGACCTCAATGCTAACTCCTGTGTCGCTGAATAAACTCCCATCACGCACCTGCATGAGTCTTATTGATTTGTCCGCCCTGTCCGCTTCACTTTTTCTACTCTATCCTCCGGAAATTTTTGTTCTACCTTCTTCCAGCATGCCTATCATTCGTTTTTAAAAAGTATGACTAAACTTAAAAATTCAAGCCACCTATATAATGGAATTTATAGAACGTAAGACAAAAAGGAGGAAAACGTTCAAGACGAAGGTGTACCATCAATATCCCTTTTGCAAGATATGATCTCCAAGATATTCAAGGACACTTGACATGGAAGCAACTTGCGAGGATAGGCGAGTCAATAAAAGAAAAACGAGGCCGAATGCATTTCACAAGGCAGGCAAGACTCTCAAATCAGCCATCAGGCATTCGTTATACAGGGTCAAGTATAGATTGTTTCCAGCAATCTGTTGAACAACGTCGAGTTACGCACAAAACCCCAAAAGCCAATTCTTTCAAATGGAGGTTTATCTACAAATGCGGTACTATAAGTACAATAATAAAATGATAATGCTTTACAAACCTCAAATCGTGGGACTATGCCGGCTTCTATACACCGGTTTAGGAACTGCTAATTCCTAACGGGTCTCAAAGTCCACGCCGACTCGGAGCCACGTGTTTACAAGGGAACTCGATTCATGCACAAGCCAAACTAAAGCAAATGATTGGCTGGTCATAGTCACGTGATCCATACCGAAACATACAGCCACTGCATACGAGGCCCAGCTGCTCAACAGAAATTTGCACCAGCAG